GGGCGCACTGGCTGCTGGCCCTGCCCCGGGGACTATCGAATAGTCGAGTAACCGATAAGAATTCGTGAGGTTCCTCGACTGTTCAGTTAACCGAGATTTAACATCCCTAGTGTGAAAGGCAGGGAGGAGGCACGTGGGGTAGAACACGCGTCCGAGCGATTCCTTCTAAGGACGGCGTACGGGCAGGATGCAGTAGGCCAGGGAATCGAACGTGAGGCAGAAGCTTCCTTGCACGTGGTAGAGCCCGATGTACAGAAGAGTAGCCCTTCCCAAGAGGGTGGCTGTCACTGTGCTGAGGGGAGAGCGAGGCCAGTCGCAGTGGGACACGCTGCCAGGACTTCATTTCCAGACGAGGGGGAGCGTTTGTGCCGAGTCTGACAGGCTGCAGCTCGTGTGCTGTTGGTCAGGTGCTGGCTGGGATTGGGAGCGGGCTGGTTTTGACCTGGCAGTGGAGCTGTCACCGAGATTTGCTTTGGGGCTGGCCACAGGGTGACCCTGACCAACTCTCAGCGCTTCGGGCGTCCCGCTTTGCCTCTCTGCTCCCAGCTGCCGCGAGCCTCCCTTCAGCGATCGTCACGTAGCGCGCCCGCCCGGTGTGAGGCAGGGGCCAAACTCAGCAGAGGCAGAGCTCAGAAATTCTGGCAGAGCTGCCAAGTGGTAGTACACGCTGCATGGGCATTGCCCGGAGAGCGATCGGAGCAGGGTTGAGGGCACCTCAGAAGGGGCGCTCGTCAGTGGGATCAGCTCTGCTGCCATCTCTTGGAAAGTGAAGGGGATCAAATCAGTGGCAGCGGGGCACCTAAATTCCTGTGAGGCTCTTGGCTGTGGGGTGTGTGCCTCAGTTTCCCATCTGTACTTGGTACTTCTCCGATTCAGGCGGTGGAAGGACCAATACACTAAAGCTTGTGGCTCTTTCCATCTGATGGTTAATAGGGGCCAAATAGATACCTGGGCAGACGGCTCTTGGCCAGATGCCTCCCTAGATGTCCCCTGTGCTGCCCTGGTATTCATTTTTATCACTCTCGTCAGACTCAGACTGACACGCCTGCAAAAAGCTTATTTACTGGCTAATAAATCAGTCCTGTGTTGCGCTCTCTGGCTTAATACCTGCCGGAGAGGGGGGAATGAAAGGAAAATGATATGAATGGGGGCACTGCAGGGATTCCTAGACAAAAGGAGGCAGGCCGCCCTGGAATCCCTGCCAGGCGCTGCCAGTGCTGAGAGGAAAAATGAAAAGAGCTTTCTCCATGGAGATGGGGGAGATGTGCTTCTCTGAGAGAGGCAGACTTGTGTTATGAATGGTCTGGGTAGCAATTTATCAGTCACATGTAATTAAATATCTATGGCGACTGCAGTTCAGAGCCCGCCTTCTCCCCCTTCTCCTGTCTCTTGGGTGCAGCATGCACTGGGCTCCCATCTCAGCCTCCATCGGAGAGTTTGAAACTGTTTGGGAGGATGCTGCTGAAGGAAGCCAGCCTGCGGCCGAGTGTTGGAGCAGGAGGTTCTGCTGCTGCCTCTGAGGAGAAGAGAGGCAGAGTAGGTGTGGACGGAGAGAGTTAGGACTAGACGTCGCAATTAGGGTGACCTGCTAGTGTCGAGGCTCCAGGCCATGAAGGATGGGGCTGATGGGGAAAGAACGGAGCTTCCTCACTGGTATCTGTGGGGGTGAGCAGCGCTGCAGCTGTGGCAGGGGTTTGCGCTAGCTCCGTGGAGAAATACATCCCTTCCCGAGCTAAAACGGAGAATCTGTGAACCCTGCTGCTACCCTGCATTTTCCAAGATGCAGAAAGGAACAGGCTCCCTTTGTGATGTCGCAGAGCTGAAGCGCAGCGCGGTTCCGGCATGATGCCCCTGCTGAAAGCGGAGGCGAGAGAGGTTCCTCCTCTGGCAAGGGGTGTGTGCTGAATGCAGTGCGGAGAGGGGGATGAGATCAGCCCCCTCCCCGCGGCACAAGTATCTTCTAGGGGACGTTTGCCTCCCTTTCTGCTTACGTTATTCCCCAGTGATTGGGGCGCCAGCCACCTCCGCATCGCTCGGGACTGCACGTATCTGGATGGATTGCAAATGTTCCTGGGGCAGAGGCTATTCAATTCCTTCACTGCCATTGGACATACAAGGCCACATGCTATTGCTTCTGGTGCCAGATGGGTTGAGCCTGACTCCTTAACAATCAGGAGGAAAAGGCTTGAGGAAGCCCTAGAGGCTATGACTTACTCTGCAGGTAACCAGAATGTCGGCTTTGTCTGAACGGGGGATACATTCGGGTTTCAGCCGTCAGCACCAGGGCAGTCCCCTCGTTCACATAGGTCTCAGAGGGGTAGTCATGTTAGTGGGTAACTTTAAAAACAACGAGCAGTTTCATGGCACCTTAGAGACTAACACGTGTATTAGGTCGTGAGCTTTCGTGGGGAAAACCCACTTCCTCAGATGGGTTGGAGTGGAAATTACAGCAAAAGACGGTACCTGTCAGTCGTAGGACCAGTGTTAATTAAGCTAATTGAGTCAGGCTGGATGTCTCATTCATAGCATGTGATGAGGAAATGCGAATATCAAAGGGGGGGGGAATTGCTTTTGTAGTGCATTAACCAGTTAAGATCTTTCTTGAAGCCTCAGTTGATTGTGTTGAACTTATACATGAACTCCAGTTCAGATGTCTCCCTTGGTAATGGGGCAAGAAAATCCTTTTGTGGAAGAACAGATACTTTTAAATTCATTATTGAATGTCCAGGGAGGTGAGGTCACATAGGGTAACACTATTGGAACCTGCAATAAGAGGTGGTCTCCCTGGGGTGGGTCTGGTGTTTGCTGGGCGGATTGATTTAAATCGCCAAAAATAAATAATTGGTTTAAATCAAGTTACCAAAAAGAGTTAAGCCTGACCGTGTTTAGAGTGCACTTCATTTGGGAGTAAACCCCATTGAACTCAGTGCACTTCTGTTTTTTTGAGAAAACAAATATAGAATGGAGTTCCCTTGGAAAAGCTGAGTTATGCTGAAGTGAAATAGGAAACAGATTTATGCATCACCGTTCTGTTCTATAGCCATGATGTTCCAAAACAAGGGGCATGTATTACGTATATAAAATCAGAAAAGGACACAAAGTGGTAATGGGCAACTCTAGATTTCTCTTCCAGCAGCTTTCTGTATCGTACACTTCCATGATAGATTCTACACCTAGTTAGCAATTAAACAAGCCATATGGATTAGGTAAGCTAAACCTTTTTTCCAGCAACATACAATAAACAGCTTGGGAATTGACTTGTCAAAACACACTTACGCTAAAAGGCATAGAGAGGCTCTTGAAGATGACGCATGGCAAAGTGAATTATTTAAGTTACTAAGCAGATGATCCTCTCAGCCACATTTTCATCCATGTCAGTTTCTCCCAAGGAGCAGTTTTCCTCATGATGTTCCATTTTTGCTGCTAAGCTCTGCATCAGCTTCTTGCTCTGCTTACACTTGCCACGTTCTCCCTTTGTACCCAGCAAACAAATTTCTTCAAAACATTCCCAGACAGGGTCTCTCTTATGCCAGATGCCATGACAGCTTTTGATTGGTAAAAGGGTGGGGGGATATAGGAAGCTGGGGGCGTCCTGAAAGTCTTCCCTTCTTCTTTCCAGTCCACTCCACTGATCCTTTCTGTGCTGCCTCTGTCCTTTCCTACACCCTGTGGCTGTGTCTAGACTGGCACGTTTT